ATTTATGAGAATAAGAATCAGATATTGCTTTTCCGCCATATCCTTTTTATGATTATTTCTTGGCAGGATATTACGACCGTGGAAAATTTAAAATGCATTGCCGATTAATATCAACATGATTTAGTTTTTAGCTCACCTGAGCCGAAGGCTCAAGTGAGCTTTTCTGATCACATTTTGTCCGGCGTCCGTCTGTCTGTCTGTCCGTCTGTCTGTCTGTAAACTTTTCACATTTTCGACTTCTTCTCAAGAACCCATGGGCCAATTTCAACCAAACTTACCACAAAGTATCCTTGGGTGAAGGGGATTCAAGTTTGTTCAAATGAAGGGCCACGCCCTCATTCAAGGGGAGATAATTGGGAATTAATGAAAATTTGGTGGTATTCTTTAAAAATCTTCTTCTCAAGAACAACTGTGCTAGGAGAGATGAAACTTATGGGGAAACATCTTCAGGTAGTGTAGATGCAAATTTGTTCAAATCATCACCCCCGGGGGTAGGGCGGGGCCAAAATGGCCGACCAAATTTTTACATAGAAATATATAGGAAAATTCTTTAAAAATCTTCTTCTCAAGAATGACAAAGCCATAAATCATCATATTTATATGGAAACATCCTCAGGTAGTGTAGATTCAAGTTTGTTCAAATCATGACCCCCGGGGGTAGGGCGGGGCCAAAATGGCCGACCAAAGTTTTACATAGAAATATATAGGAAAATTCTTTAAAAATCTTCTTCTCAAGAATGACAAAGCCATAAATCATCATATTTATATGGAAACATCCTCAGGTAGTGTAGATTCAAGTTTGTTCAAATCATGACCCCGGGGGGTAGGGCGGGGCCAAAATGGCCGACCAAAAATATACATAGAAATATATAGGAAAATTCTTTAAAAATCTTCTTCTCAAGAATGACAAAGCCATAAATCATCATATTTATATGGAAACATCCTCAGGTAGTGTAGATTCAAGTTTGTTCAAATCATGACCCCCCGGGGGTAGGGCGGGGCCAAAATGGCCGACCAAAAATATACATAGAAATATATAGGAAAATTCTTTAAAAATCTTCTTCTCAAGAATAGCCTAGCCATGATTTTTCATATTTACATGGAAGCATGTTCAGGTAGTGTAGATTCAAGTTTGTTCAAATCATGACCCCAGGGGGTATGGCGGGGCCAAAATGTCCGACCAAAGTTTTACATTGAAATATATAGGAAATTCTTTAAAAATCTTATTCTCAAGAATAGCCAAGCCATAATTGATCATATTTATATGAAAGCATTATCAGGAAGTGTAGATTCAAGTTTGTTAAAACAATGACCCCGGGGGTAGGGCGGGGCCAAAATGGCCGACCAAAGTTTTACATAGAAATATATAGGAAAATTCTTTAAAAATCTTCTTCTCATGAACAGCCAAGCCATAATTGATCATATTTATATGGAAGTATTATCAGGTAGTGTAGATTCAAGTTTGTTTAAACAATGACCCCAGGGGGTAGGGCGGGGCCAAAATGGCCGACCAAAGTTTTACATAGAAATATATAGGAAAATTCTTCAAAAATCTTCTTCTCAAGAATAGCCAAGCCATGATTGATCATATTTATAGGGAAGCATCCTCAGGTAATGTAAATTCAAGTTTGTTCAAATCATGACCCGGGGGGTAGGGCGGGGCCACAATGGCCGACCAAAGGTGCTCAGGTGAGCGATGTGGCCCATGGGCCTCTTGTTATAGAAAAACAACTTGCAGCATTTACACATTCATAGAAATGTAAATGTGTTAATCTTCTTGTGGACAATTTTAAACAAAAAAAATCACGTCCCTCCGCTTCCGTACTATTTTTTAGACGTTGACAGAGGTATAAGTGGAACGATAACTCTGGGTAGAGATTGCAGAAGGGGGTTTGTGATTTATAAGGAAGAAGAATAAATAATGTTATACGATATCTTACTTTCGATGATATATCTACAAGAGACAATGTGTAATCAGTAGGTGATCTTTTAGTGCATAAACACTTTTTATGTTGTTTCCTGGTGGAAGTAGCATTGCTTTAATGCTGGTGACATAGCTAACAGCCTCATCACACAACTTGAACTGGATACTTAAGCTAACGTTACATATCATGAGCAAAACAAATCTAATTTTTTTCTAGATACCAGCATATAGCTCAGATGAACATTTATCATCTTCATTCTCTTCCTCTTAGTCTATAACACTTGCAATAGGATCTGGAAAAATGTATGGTTCATCTTCATTCGTCTGTCTGTCCTTCTGTTAGCTTTTCTCGTGTCCGGCTCATAACTTTAATACTATTAGTCCTAGAATTACAAAACTTTATCAGCTGATACATCATGGTTAGAAGTGTAATAAGATTGCAACCCCAAGAGGGGAATAATAAATTATTCTGCTCTTGGGACAGTCAGGTTCGAGGGAGTATTCACCTGAGAATTCTACCTGATGGTTATAAAATAAGACAAAAGATAATAATGATGAAAATAGGATGTTTATTTATTTACAATGAACAATGAAATGACATGGTCTGGTACTCCCAGTTCTACAAAACAATGAAAAACAATTATGGTAAATGAGATGAATTAATGAAAATTACCATATAATTAATCTTGAAATTCAATAGGTATTGTAACTTTATTTAATTATAGAAGTTTTAGCCTTAGGTAATTTTGATAATGAGAATTTAGATCGGGATCGATATGCAAATATTTAATAGACCACAATGGCGCTGAACGTGAATGTTATAATATGGTGAATGCTAGTTCAGATCATGTACATGGAGGTCGCTTTTCGGAACACCCCTTTTTTCATTTTTCGTTCGGGCTCGTGGTACAATACTGAATGAATAAGTACGGTTGTATCGAGTTAAAAAAAACGTTTTATAATTAAATATCATGATTTGTGGACATAGGTCCACAATCAGAACGAAAATTTAAGGTCGATTGAAGTTCCGATTGGTCTTTATATACATAAAATAGAACAAAATATTTTTTATGTTCATTGTATAATGAAAGAGTTTACCAAATAAACGAGGATTTCAGGTTTCTGTATGATTGTAAATTATATCACACCCACCCCTTATAACTATTAAATATGCTGAATATGAATAGAATATCAATAAAAGAAGAAGGAAAGATGTTTTTTTTTGGGGGGGGGGGGTAATATAATTAATGAATCAAAAACATGACAAAGACATAAAAAAGGAAAAGGAATGTTGGTTAATTACCGTTTTCTTTTTAATTGATACTCTATGGAATTTTTATTTAATGTATTCATCGAATAATGCTGGTCTCAACATAATTATATATATAAGTTCACTTTGTTGTAGGAACAACGACAGCAAAGAAAAATATTAGGGACTGGATTTCGTCAGATTATATAAAATTAATTGAAGCTTATTTCAACTTATGTTATCGGATATAACATAACTTGGGGCAGTTTACGCTTTATAAAGTATATAATTATAATTTATTTATCATATTATAATCAATAAATACTCGTAAATCCACAAAACTGAAAAACAATACCATTCTTCATTTCTTTATTTCAATTTTCGAGTGTTTTGTGCCGTTGGCAACTAAACATAATATCAAATTGCAAAAATAATAATAATAAAAGCAGAACAATTAAGGATAGAAGTTCTATATTGCAACGACATGTTGTAATACATGTGGCATTGTCAAAGACCTACCCGTACATCAATATTATATATCAATTCAGATCAGGTACAGGTAGGTTAATACACAAATAGACATTGTCATAGACCTACATAAAAATCTCAGTTATTTCAGATCAGGTACAGGTAGGTAAACACTCATACAGACATTGTCATACACCTACATCAAAAACTCAGTTATTGCAGATCAGGTACAGGTAGGTAAACACTCATACAGACATTGTCATACACCTACATCAAAATCTCAGTTATTTCAGATCAGGTACAGGTAGGTAAACACTCATACACACATTGTCATAGACCTATATCAAATACTGGTGAAATACTCAGTTATTTCAGATCAGGTACAGGTAGGTAATCACTCATACAGACATTGTCATAGACCTACATCAAATACTCAGTTATTTCAGATCAGGTACAGGTAGGTAAACACTCATACACACATTGTCATAGACCTATATCAAATACTGGTGAAATACTCAGTTATTTCAGATCAGGTACAGGTAGGTAATCACTCATACAGACATTGTCATAGACCTACATCAAATACTCAGTTATTTCAGATCAGGTACAGGTAGGTAAACACTCATACACACATTGTCATACACCTACATCAAATACTCAGTTATTTCAGATCAGGAACAGGTAGGTAAACACTCATACAGACATTGTCATACACCTACATCAAAATCTCAGTTATTTCAGATCAGGTACAGGTAGGTAATCACTCATACACACATTGTCATAGACCTACATCAAAAACTCAGTTATTTCAGATCAGGTACAGGTAGGTAAACACTCATACAGACATTGTGATAGAGCTACATCAAAAACTCAGTTATTTCAGATCAGGTACAGGTAGGTAAACACTCATACACACATTGTCATAGACCTACATCAAAATCTCAGTTATTTCATGTATCAAATATATTATGTAGATCCCAATACAGTGTCATGTAGCAAATAATTAAAACAGACATAAATTAGACACTACTCCTGTCAATGCTTTTAACCCTCATTGCTCATCTGGGACAGGTACTGGTAATTCATCCATGATTAATTCGGCTTGGAATCTGTTAACCATTTCCCGGTTTTGGATAACTTTTACCAAAATCTGTAGCAATCAAGAAATTTATGATAAGCATTATGATAAGAATATTTCTTGCAATATTTAAGGAATATTTTTCAGTTTCGTGTGAGTTATTGGTGTGTGAATCACACAGACTTGTCACGTTGGCATATTTCACTTTCATATAATTTAATTTCACTTTACCCATAACACAGGATATGATATAGTTTGATCATAAAGATTACACCACTTCCCAAAATACTTAGCATTTATAAGATAACAATTGTCCCTTCTGGTTTTATCGAATAAAGTTCTCAGCAATAAAATCAAACACATATTGAACAACAGGTGACCAGTAAAATTCCCATAAAGTTATACATGTCTAAAAAGAAGGGAAAAGGATTAAAATCAAAATTACATAGAAATGATATGATCTTTATACTCAGCACATCCATTTGTTTGTAATTTTAACCACCTGTCCCATGCCTGCTCTCTATGAAAATCACACAAGTAGACATGACAACCTGCAAATCAAAGTGAGTCTTCTTCAACAAATCATTCGTTAAGCATTTTCATATTTTGTCTTCTTTACTATATCTTTTTCATTATTTCCTTTTAATTTCGTTTTTAATTCTTTTTTAAGTTCATGGTAATTATTTCAACTAGTAACTCAGAAGTGTAGAATTATTGTACAAGATTTTATCATACCTATACTGGCACATCACATTAATTTTGCAACCAAACATGACAGTCTGAGGGAGGGGTGCAGGCTTTTGCGAAAAAAAAAACTACATACAAAAAAAAGCCACTCACGTACACCTTTACATTCTGCCTTAATGTTACATACATACTGAACTTGCTAGACAAATTTTGAATGTTAATATAGCATGAACATATACTTATGAGAATTTCAAATCACACTCAAATGTCTCCTGGTTGGCATGAAAAAAAGAAATAAATCACATATCCACAATGAATTAAAGTTACAGTAATAGTTAGAGAAAATGATTTCAATTGAAACTGAAAAAGATTTTCTACAACTACCTACTACTTTTGTTAGAACTCAAATATTATTTAAGTGTTTTTGTTTAAGTCAATTTTATCTTTACAAACTTCAAAGATATTGAAGGAATAATTATTCATAAATGACTCTCGTGGTACATACTTCCGTATAATATATACATTTTTCCTTACATAAAAAAACCTTTACCAATATAGCCTATATTTATTAAATTCTATACATAGAGAAACAGAGAGAAGGAAAGAGAAAGCAAAATTGATACACAATTTTGCATTTAGTACATGTATGTGGTTATTATGAGTTGTGAGAAAAGTGTTATGAATATACATGTGTGAAAATACTTCAAAATACCATGATTGATCTTAACTGATTATACTGAATTTATGATGGAAAAATGATGAATGATCAAAGACTTTTTGAGAAGGTGTTTGGATAGGAGCACACGAGACAAAAAGCCCACATCTGTACATCTAATTGATGGTAACTTACCAAACATAGCCTGTAAAAGATAGTATTTTAGTAGAAAATGCGCATGCATTATATCAATATCAAAGTAAAACTTTATTGATTTATCAACTACAAATGGATATTTCCAAAAATTAATATTTCAGCAGATTTTAATTTATAATTATAATCTTCTGTAATCCAAAACTATTAATACCTGGAAAAGTTTCCTCAAAAGCACCTATTTCTGACGTATCAAAGTCAGTCATGAAGAATTTGGGATCCCAGTTTGCATTCCACTGCTTCAAATACTGCAGACCTCTTTTGATGGAAGCTTTTGTTTCATCTGCAGTAATGAAGCATCCAACGGTGGAATAGCCAACGTTTGTGTTCACACATACAAAAAAGGCAGGCAAATTGTACTTGGTAGTTCTGTATGTGGCATCTAAAAGGCATATTTCCTAGCCATACATTTTAAGTAGCCTTTTCTGAGACTCTGTCTGCCCAACAAAGAGGAATTCTTCAGTTCTGCAAAGTGTAAATGTACATGTATTTGCAATGTCTTGTTTTAAATCAATTCAAACAAACTGAAAAAAAAATAATTTGATAAATACAACCATGTTTTATGTGATTCAAATTATGTCAGGTACAATTACTAAAAAATACATCAGTGCAAGGAATATTTTTTTTCCAATTTTTACTCTATTGAGGTTCTTGTTTGGGATTTTTATACGCCCGTCTTAAGACGGGTCGTATTATGTTATAGGCTTCATGTCCGTCCGTCCGTCTGTCCGTCCGTCCGTCTGTCCATTCCTGTCCGGCTCATAACTTGAATACTGTTAGGCCTAGGATTATCAAACTTTGTCAACTGATACTTCTTGGGTAGACGGTGTGTCGCGCACAAAAAGTAGGTCGCTGTGACCTTTAATATAGATGCTGCAGCCAAATATGGAAAAATCCTGTCCGGCTCATAACTAGAAAACTATTAGACCTAGAGCTTTCAAACTTGACAAAAGTATACATCTAGAGTAGAAGGTGTGCCGCGGCCTATTTCAAGGTCA